ACATAATTATTTATTTATACCTTTTCTCAGCGATTTGGTTTCTTTCTTTTTCCTTTCCTTATCTATTCCAATTCCTTTCACCTCTAGCGCTCTCCCCTTTCTCTTATTCTCTCTACTTCTCTTACCATGCCTGAATCACGTTTTCCCCAGACAATCAGATCTAAATGAGATAGCAAAGTCATTGGATTATGAAGATCAAGGCGAGCAACCAGATAGTGGGTGGTGGGAAAAAGCTCGCAGGGAGATGTTGTTCAGAGACTATGCTGAAATGAATGTTAAAGAGGTAACATTTCTTTTCATCACTGTCTCTACAATTTCCTTTGTTTTTCTAATTTTCCATTATTATTTCCCTAAATCAAACTGACAATGGCCATGTTTGATTGGAAGCACTATGCTTATCCAAGAGTTGTCGACGCGTGGAACTCTAACAGAGGAGTTCCACTCCGTTTTCATCAGAATCACCAGCCTAAACCCAAGTTCTCTTTATCTTGAAATTTTTTACTTTTTTCTTTTTATTTGGTCTCCTATTGTTTTCTTCTCAATCTGATTTTTTTTTTTTTTTGAAATTTGATAATTTTTGTTGATAAAAATATTTGACATTTCTATGATGCTTTCTGTTGAAACTCAAAATCAAAGATGAAATAGTTATTATCAATTTACAATTAAAGCAGTGGTGTCATTGATGTTGGAGTTGTTTCCACTGCAACTTAGGCAACCCAATTGGGGGATTAGAGGTGAAAAATGAGCATAGCAGGGGAGGGGGAGGGTAGGATTTTAGCATTTTAATAATAGTAATCTTAAAAAAAAAGTGAAAATTCATATAATGCCATGAAAATATTTACTTGATCTTGATTAGACCTATGTATGGCTCACCTGAGGTTGAGTTGGGAGAGTTGTACATAAATTGCTTAATCTGATTACCCATACTCTTTAACATGGTTGGGGAAGTTTTAACATTTTAATAATAGGAAATGAGTTATGCAAAAGTATGTTTGGATGAACATGATGCATTTTGATTGAGAAATGCCTTAGTGATGAAAGCATGAAAATGTATATTTAAAGTGTGCTTAACCAATGACATTTGTGGAATTATGGGCTTAAGAGTTGTATTTTCTTATAAGTAATTTTATAAGTGTTCATTTTATTCATGTTGTGCGAATTTTGTGATGATTAAAGGTTTAATGTTAAATGGAGAACAATTAGAAGAAAAGGACTTAAATGCAAAGAGCTGGAAAGATGAGGATCCAAGGATAAATCTGGAACTTTGAAGGCTAGAGTGAAATTTCTCCATATTTGATTAAGAGCAAAGTTAGCAAGTCCGTGAAGTTGCCGTGACCAGTGCAAAAGGAATTCCAGTAGCATCAAGGGTTCCGCAACCTGTTCCAAGTTCCAACCCTTGGGCAGTGTTGCACAAAACAGAAACATCAGGGGTCCCACACCCTCATTGAGGTTCCAACCCTTCTTCGACAAGGTTGTGGGGGAAGAAAGAAAAAATAAAATTAATTCCTCAGGGCTGCTATCCTAGTTACCAAACACTCCTATTTTATTCTTAATATAAATAGGAACCTTGAAAACTAGGTTTAGCATCTAGAAAAATAGTTCTTAAGCTTCTATTTTCTTCTTTGCCAAGGCTAGAGAATTATGTTAAAGAGCAACTAAACTTTCAACAAAACTATGGAAGATCTTAATTGAGGAGTTTGATTTGTTATTTTATTTTGATTTCTTCATGGATTTTATTGTTTAATTTTATTTTTGAAAGATTATTAATTATTTTTCAGATTTGAAAACCCAAAAAATTATATTTATCAAATCTCATATAAGAATAGTCATGCTCTTTTTATATATGATTTGTTAGAATATAATTGATTGACAGATTTGTTTTGCGAGTTGATCCTTTACTGTAGTATTGTCAATTAGATATATTGTCGCTCTTGGATAGCTTGTAAGGATAGATCGGTTTGTTCTTCATTAAAATTAATTTCTCTCAAAATAAATACATTGGTTATTATTATTGATCTTCAAAGTTAAATTTTTCGATTATTTGTTTGGGATATGAAACATGCAATTGAGTAATAAATAGGAATCAAAATTTATAACAATTAAACAAATCAATTAAGTAAATCCTAAAGTCTTGTTCCTCATAATATCATTTCTAATCCTTCATAATTATCATATTTTAGTTAAATATTTTTATTCTTAATTTTAGAATTAATCTTTCAGTTTAATTTCTCATTGTGACAACTCTTTTTGTTGGTTTATTATAGCTTCCTTGTGGATTCAACATCTAAAGCTATGCTACAACAACCGCTTAGCCGAAGGGTATTAATTTTGGGACGAGACTTCAAAATTTGGCGCTGTTGCTGGGGAAGCCAAATCGACAATTAGAGTTTGAACATTCTTCACTTTTCTTTTATTTCTTTTATTTGCTTCATTTTTAGTTTATTTTACTTTCTTGCTTTTATTTTATCTTCTTCATTAAAAAAAAAAAAAAATTCAAACCCAGCTTATGGGGCTAAAAGGCATAC